AAAATTGTTAAGCAAATGTAGATTTATGGGAAGTGTACTTGATTAGCATACATGTTTGGGCTTTGGACTATGGGGAGTGTTTTGGGTTGGCTAGTTGTTTTCTACTCACACCTAAAATGTTGATATGTTTGCTTTTAAATTAGTGCTAGGCTTAGTGCCAAACACACAGAATACTCAAGTAGATCTCAGCTTACAGACCTCTGGTAGGCTTGAAATGTAAGCAGTTGTCAAAGAAGTTGTATTTGTCCTGGGGAAGCACTTTCCTCAATAGCCTCCCTTCTGGTGAGTGTGTTGTGCCCTTGTCAAACACAACAACACACCTAAATCCCTGGAGTTCACTCATAGGCCAGAATCTTGGTTCTTCATGTCATGTCCCAGATACAGAGTTCAAAACACAAGTGTTCAGATCAGAGCCAATGTTCATTCAGCTGAAACAAACATGCTGCATGCCAGGAAAATATACCCCTCAAAGATCTTTGGTACTCATCAAGGCAATAGAAAGAGAGAGTGCAGGCAAGTGCTCTTTCATTTCTAACAGGAGGCGAAGGTCCAAGGAACTTCAGGGACATTCAGGAAAAGAGTGACTTACCTAAGTGGGTAATTTTTTTCATTGAGTACATTGGTGCCAATTGTGAGGGTTCGTGTGATGCTAGAGGTTCCAGTGTGGTTGTTTACTCATGACACATTAGTGATTGCTGTTGTTTGAACAAGTTCAATGATGTACTGCATAGAATTTAATATGGCTGAGGAAACTGCACAGATTAATTTTGCTTCCATGGATGTGGGTTAAGTTTCCTGAGTTTTCATAGATACAAAGGAGTGAAAAGTCCTCTTCAGCTGTGTTAGTAGGGTCAGTTGAGAGATACTTGTATCAAAGGGGTGATCTGAAAGAATGAGATACAGGCCTTGCTTCCCTGGCAGGAATGTGAAGATACTGGGTGGATTTGTGTCTTGGTCCAGCTGCAGGGAGGACTGCCAAGAATGTAATTCTCTCTGGGTTATTTAAAGTACAGAGCAAGCTTTTTTTTCCCCTGCTTTGAGGGAAATTTATATTGAATATTTTCCCTCCTTGCAGCTTTCAGTCAGCAAAACTCAAAGTACTTGCTTCAGCTCACTGAGTAGTAAGCTGGGCACTTGTTTTGTTCTCGTTTTATTACTACAGTTGCCTCCAGCCCAATCATTTCACAGACTGCCTAGATGAGGGTTAGCTCTTTTATATCATCAATATTTTAAGAATAAGCCAGACAGTGGCACATTTGAATATTAATGCCAGGATTGTCTAAGCTTTTAAAAAGTGCTGGTCAGATTGACTTGTGTGATTGCCTTCAACAATCACAGGAGCAACCCCTTCCCAGTATATGGCCAAAAGGGACCAAAATGTAATACAGGTCTGTTATATGACCTGGCAAGTGTTGGGCATTGCCATCGTGTGACCAGACACTTTTGTAGATCATTAATGCCAACACATTAATAACGTCATGCAGTGAAGGGATGTGGTGCCATTGGATGAGCTAGCCTCAGAAGTGGTGCTTCCAGAAAAACAGATGCCTTGCCATCCTGCTGCTTTTCCACATCCAAGGTATGACTAATGAAAAAAGAGGTTGAAAGATCAGATTGGGGACTGGATTAATTTTTCCTGTTGTTTATATTTGTGTTAATGACTGTAGAATGAACAACCTCTTGAATTTTAGTAATGGTATTATTAACGTGTTTGGATATTATCTCATTGCTGTGATCTTTTAGGAGGACATCAGTTTTTCTTGTCTTACTTAATATTTTTTTTTGCTTTATTGATTGAAGCACTACCAACCAGCAGCAGCGTAAATGAAAACATTTCCTGCATGGCTTCTTCACAGACCTGTGATGAAGTATCACTCCTTCGTTCTGTCAGGATAGATATGATGCAGACCACAGGAAAATGACAAACTAGAGATAGTTGCCATGCCTGGCTGGTTTCCTGTAGAGTGAATGAGATGAGAGGCACCCAGGAGAGTTCAGCACCTCCAGTGTGCTCAGGGGTGAGCATATCTTGTGAAGCATTCACTCAGAGTGTTCACTGGAGGACAGGGAATGGAAAAGCTCAGTGTGCAGATCTGGTCACTGCCATGCACAAAACAGGGAAAACCATTTCCCTCTTCATTACCTGGGCAGTGCCCCCAAACAGTCACAGCTTGCATTGTTATGCCAAGGAGAAACAAAGTTTTGCATTTGTAGATTTAATGGTCCTTTTATTTAAACAATCACACTGCTTATGTAACAGCCCTGTGAATGCTGAAGTCCAGCTGGAGCCTGCAACATGCTGTTTACAGAGGTATCACCTCTTGGGTGACAATGTAAAATGTAGCAAATAGTGCTGAAGGCAACTGGCAGAGAGAGCAGGGGCTGGAACAGTGAAAGGGTATTTGGGAAGATGTAGGTGTGCTGCCTTCCTGGGAGCAGGAGGTTTTAACCTTGCTTTGGTAAAGCAAGGGGAAGGGGCTCTGTAAAGGTCATCAGAAAGCTGGGCTAACAAGCTGCTGCAGGAAGGGCAGATGGGACTCCCCAAAGTGAGGAGAGGAGAGGGCCCAAGAGGGGCACTGGCACAGCACGGATGGCGACCACAGTGAGGATTTCAAGCACTGACAAGGTACAGAGGACTGTGACTTTAAAGACTTGGTGTGACAAGGACAAAAAGGAGGTAGAGAAGACAGAAATGATGAAGCTCTGGAACATTTTCACACTAAGATTACTGAAGCTGTATTTTAATATACAAGAGAAAGGCTGCTGAGTGTCCTTGTTCTTCTTTCTTGAAATGGTTACCACTGACTAATACACACACAAAAACACACCTACACTCATGCAAACACGTAATTGCACATAATGAGGATAACTGGCCAGCTTTCTTCTGAGATATTCAAGGTTTGACAAAGCAAGCTCTGACTCAAACAGTGTTAACTGGAACCTGGTGCATGGCAGTCAACAAATGGCATCTGCTCTCCAGCATACTAATTTTCACTTACTGCCCTGAGACAGTTTGTAAGCTTTGTATATGTTATTAGCAAAAAATTAGAGATGGGGTTTTTTTAAGTGTCAAGTTTTTAATAATATGTTTAACCATTTTAAGTGAAATAATAGACTATGGACCATTTTCGGTTGTTTACAGCAAGCTCAAGGTTCATAGTTAGACATTATATGAATGATGATCAAAGTTGTAAATACTCATTATTTAGTAGAATCGCTTTTTTTTTTTTTTTTTTTTTAAAGCACCTTTTTGTGCATAAAGCATTTGTAAATCTCCATTAATGGAATTTATGTTCCCACATCAAAATTTCTTGTTTGCAGCCAACCAAATATCTTAGGCTTAGATCTTCCTCCTACATGTAATGGAATCACAATGGTGTCACAGACATCACAGCCATTTTTGTAAAATATGATGTTAAGGAAGACGGATTTCATTGTACTATACATATGTAAATGCCTCCCTTCCAATAGTCTCAGGGGAAAGAAGATGCCAGAAAGAATTCCCCACCAGTGTGCGTATTAATTGTCACCGCCTTTCATGGGATAGTGAAGTGCATTCATACAAAGACAAGCATTAAGAATCCAGAAGGCTGCCCAAGGAAAGTGAAGGCATTTGAGTGAGACTTAAGGAAGTCACATGATAAATTATAATAATCTAACTGCAATCTAGAAAATCACACTCTCCTTGTTTGTGTCTGTAATGAGGTAATGATGCAGCTCCTCTGGCTTCATGCAGGCACTACAGTTTACAGCAGTTTACAGCAGGCTACGGGCAATCAGCCTGCAGCACAAGTTCTTTGCTATTGGTGTATCCTCACAATGACGGCTGAGTTCAGAATAGCTAGTGGTATAATTTGAAGTAGTAAACACGTTGTTCCTCTGTACCTCAAACCCTTTTCAGAAGTGTAGGGGACTGGTTATCACAAAGCACAATTATTGATCGTTGATCCTGTATGTTCACGTGTATGAGGACATCCCAAGCTTCTGAAATCCAGCTGAGGATAAGAAATCCACTGTATGACTTAATAATTGGATTGAAAGTTTTGCAACTGAGTTATCTGGATGGAAACACAGCTCACATGGATGCTTATGTACAGAGAAACTTCACTGGAAACCACTATGTGTGCTTGAAATAGATGACCTCTCTCTTTCCTGAATCAAAGCAAGAAATTCACCAAAATTCCCAGCTACACACAGTAGATGTAAAGAGATGCAAATCAATTTCTGGTGACTCCTACATCGCATGACTTGAAGGAGGCTACCGTTCCCAGTTCTCCACCTTTTACTTGGGGACTTCAGTTCTGTCTTCCACCCAGACACAACTGTTCACAAGAAATTAAATGCTGTTTGTTTGTGTAATTTCTCACTGTGCAGTCGTTGGTCCTTCCATGCTGCCTTTGTCCTCTGTTGAGGCTGTTAAATGAGTTGGTACTACATTAATGAAAGCATTGTAAGTGTGGTTCATGCTGCTAGATGCCATATTTAAAAACGTTTTGTGAAATCAAAGTGAGTATCAGTAAAATATTCTCCTGTGGTTCGTGGCTCCAATACCAGTACAATGACTTAATTGGCATTCTTGTGCAGTGCTTGGGTCTCTGCCAGCTAATGACCCATTGCTGCAGTCTGCACAGGCAAATTACCCCTTCTGTCCGGCTCTTCGAGCTGATGGACTTCTGCCCAAGTAATGGCTGCAGGCTTCTATTCTCAGCTGGCACAGACCCAGTGTGACCATAAACATCCCTGAGAGGATCATAATATGATATATTGGACAGATTCTGAAATGCCTCACAGTAACAGACCGCCGAGCAATTCTGCTGAAGTCAGTGACTTTGGCAGTGCCATAGCTGAAAGAAGAAACTGGTCCCTACACTGTTGCTTCCTCAAGTAATGAAGCACTTACAGGATATTAGGTCCCCTGAACCCTTTGTCAAACACTCCAAATAGTTTGTGGGTTTTTTTGTTCTGGTTTTGAATTGTTGCATTGTCTCTTCCTTCTACAGGATTTTCCATTCTTCAGGCAATTATGGAAGCAGCGGTTCA